GTCTTCTGTATTTCAATGGTGTCTGACATGGTATTTCCTTTGTCATCACAAATTCTAGTAATTTGAGTTTTATCCCTCCTTTTTTGTTAGGGTGGCCAAGGGTTTGTCAATTTTATTTATTTTTTTCAAAGAACCAGCTTTTTGTTTTGTTAATTTTTAAAATTGTTTCTTTTGTGTAAAATACATTGATATCCACCCTGCTTTTAATTATCTCCTATTTTCTACTACTTTGGGTGTTGGTTTGTTCTTCTTTTTCTAGGGCTTTGATATGTAATGTCAGGTCATTTATTTGTTAACTTTTTCTTCTTTTAATGAGTGAGCTTAATGCAATGAACTTTCCTCTTAGCATTGCTTTCATTGTTTCCCAGAGATTTTGATAAGTTGTTTCAGAGTTCTCATTTACCTCTAGGAAATTTTCTTATCTCTTCCCTGAAGTCTTCTGTTATCCATGTTTCATTCAATAGCATATGGTTTAGTCTCCAGGTATTGTAGTAGCTTCTCTTTTTAATTTTATCATTGATTTCTAATTTCATTCCATTACAGTGTGATAGAATGCAGGGTAGCAAAATAGAGATTTTTTTGTATTTTCTAAGACTTGCTTTGTGGGACAACCTATGGTCTATTTTGGAGAAGAATCCATGTGCTGCTGAGAAGAAAGTGTATTCACTCATTGATAGGTGGAATATTCTACATACATCTGTTAAATCCACATTATTAATTGTCTTATTGAGTTCTATAGTTTCTTTGTTTAATTTTTGTTTGAAAGATCTATCCAGTGGTAAGAGAGGTGCATTAAAGTCATCCAGTATTATTGTGCTGTGGTCTATTTGGTTCATGATTTTGAGTAGAGTTTGTTTGATGATGTATGAATCCCTTAAGCAGTATGAAATGTCCTTCTTTATCCCTTTTCACTAGCTTTGGTTTGAAGTCCACTTTATCTGATATGAGGATGGAAACCCCTTCTTGTTTACATGGTCTATGTAAGTGGTATGTGTTTTCCCACCCTTTCACCTTCAGTCTGTGGATGTCTTTTCCTGTGAGATGTCTCTTGAAGGCAACGTATTGTTAGGTCTTTTTTTAAAAAAATCCAATCTGTCAGTCTATGTTTTTTTAATTAATGAGTTTAGATCATTCACATCCAGAGTTATTATTGAAATATGATTTGTATTCCCGGACATTTTGGTTTATTTTTGGTTTTTAACTTGACTTGTTTTCTCCTTTGATTGGCCTTTCCTTTAGTGTAGTTCCTCCCTTTGCTGATTTTCATTGTTGTTTTTCATTTCCTCCTCCTGGAATATTTTGCTGAGGATGCTCTGTAGTTCAAGCTTTCTCACTGTAAATTCTTTTAACTTTTATTTATCATGAAAGGTTTTTATTTTGTTATCAAATCTGAAGCTTAATTTTGCTGGATATAAGATTCTTGGTTGTCATCCATTTTCTTTCCGAGCTTGGTATGTGTTGTTCCAGTACTTTAATTTACTTTTAAAACCTAATATAGAAATACATTTCTACTACATCAGTTTCTGTCAGATAAAGTTGTATTCTACAATCTAAATTTTAATCACAACTTACAAATATATGCATTTGATTACTTAACTTTTACTCGAATTCCAAATATATATGGTGTCTGTCAAAATTTATGACTTATCTTTTTCTAGTTTCTACCCTTTTTTAGTCTTTCTTCTTGCTTTCCCATTCTCATCTTTACACCATCTCCCTTCCTATTCTCAAGATTTCAGTGTTGTTCTAGTAGACTTGCATGCTGCAAAGGGTACTCACCATAATCATTTGAATGATTTTTTTTTTTAACAACTCTAGTTCTGAGTTCCTTTCTAATACGAAATTTGAAGTTATACTTCTCTGTCTTTTCAAAGACATTTAAACATCACCTTTGGTATTTATCATGTCAAAAAAATGGCTTTTAGATAATTTGGGGCATACAATTGGGAAATATGACATGGGGTAGCCACTCAAAAACTTTTGACAGTGTGATGTCCCTTTACAGTCATATGAATACACTAAATTATTAAACCAGACTAAACCCCAAATTTTCCAAAACTATTTGATGATAGTCAACTTAGACACACATTAAGTAATATTGTCTTAGCCATATTTAATGGTAACTGCATACCCACATCTGTACATGTACATCCATCTAAGTCAAAAGAAATTACTGACATAATGACTTGATGAAGAATTGTGTATAGAGTATTAAATTAAAAATTGTCTCCATCTGATCTAGATGTAAGAATTCTGTTTTTTTTTTTCTTTCAGAAAGTCATGATCTTCCTCTACACTGTCCCATATGGTAGCCACTAAACCCTCTCTGGCTTCTGAGCTCTTGAAATGTGTTAAGTCTAAACTGAGACTTGGCACGCAAGACAGACTGGAAGATGTTTCACTAGTATTTTTTATATTTATTACATGTTGAAATAGTAACATTTTAGATAAATTTGGTTTAATAAAATATTTAGAAAATACTCATTTGAAGTGGGTGCCATAGGTGCACACCTTGTAATCCCAGCAACTTATGAGACGGGGCAGGAGGATCACAAGTTCAAGGCCAGCTCAACTGACTAAGTAAGATTGTGTCTTAAAATTAAAAAAAAAATTAAAAAGGGCTGAGAATGGAGCTCAGTGGTAGAGTACCCCTGAGTTCAATCTGCAGTACCATTAAAAAAATTAATTTAACTCTATTCTTCTCACATCTCTGAATGTCACTACTTGAAAATTTTAAGCTATGACACTTCTTGCATTTGTAGCTCTCATTATATTTAATTAGACCATACTAATCTAAGTCTCATGATTCCAACTGCATCATCCATCATCTCCCCCAAAATAAGATATCGTGATTAGATAATTTTATCCCAAGTATCAATATATTCAGAGACATTGATCCTTTATCCTCAGAAAATACAGAGAGCAGTAACAGTACATTGTTTTGCACAATTTAACTAAAACCTCTTTTGACACTCTTATATACAGATAGACTCATCTGTCAATGAAAATTACCAAGAATAATTTCTCTTGGTAGCATTTTGAGTGCAGATGTCATTTGTCAGTGATTCATTTATATTAAGAAATTAATTAACATGTTTTCAATAACTTGTCTACAACAAGGTTTTCTCCTTAAACTTTCACCTTTTCTCCTACTGAGGCCAAACTGCAGCTTTGGAGCTAAGATTATTGATAAAATTTAGGGAGGATGTTAAAGTAAAGCTGGCAATCTAATGTATTAGCCCATCTTTTATTGAAGTTTGTGCTAGTTATTTGTAATACCGTTTCCCCTTCTTCAGAGGTCTTCAAGAGACTTTAGTTTACAAGTCATAGGCTTCCTCTCTACTGTCCATACTACAGTCTTTGAGTGATTTGTACTATCTTGACAATAATCCTTTTATTAACACAATTTTACGTCTCCCAGTATCTTTTCATGCTATAGCCTCTTGGTCACTAAACAATATCATCTCTCAGAATAAACACATTTTTAAGGTCTCTAAGTTTAAAATTGCCCTAAGAACTATACTGTTTTACTGTTTCTATCCTCGTTTTCACCAAACTTTTAATTTCTTTTTATGACTTCTGGTCTTTCACCCCATTATTTATTCTGGTGTTTCTTTTCCATTCTGGTTGTTATTGTGTTACTGCCCACTCCGTTTGCTTGTCTAGATTCCTCAGGCATCCTCCCCAGTACTGAGCTGCCAGCCCTTCTCTTCTGTATTACACCCAATCTGTGCTGTCTTAGGCTGCCAGTTGAGTCCATGGAAGCCAACTTTTATTTACCCCTTTCACTTTTATGCGATGAACTTGAAATTTCCTAAAATAGCCATTCCAGAACTTTTCTCTCCTCCTATCACAGTTCCATACTCAATTGTTTATAGACTTAGAAACCAACATGGTTTCTCTTTTCATTAAAAGAACAAGACCAACTGGCAAATATTTTGCCAACCCCCACCTCCATCTCTGTACTTATCATTCTGAGCCTCTGGAAACTTAAATAAAAATTCCACACATCATGGTTGTTACTGGGTTCATAAAGATGAATGCTCCTAAGGAACTCATAGTTCAGTGTGGCATATAGACAAAAAATGAAAAAATGTTGAATGAAATATATGTTTATGGCAGATAGAATATTTTTGGTGCAGAGGTAGGAATATTTGAATCTTCATGAAATTTATAAGAATTAAGTGACTAATAGGATCTCTTTGGTGGCAGGTTACATTAAGATGAACATGTGGGTTTCTGTTTGTTGAATATAACTTTTTTTTTATTTTGGTGATAACGAAGAGGGAGAAATAGCCATTATGTCAATGAAATAGGAGTAGAATCAACTCAATTCTATTTGCTATTTAATTCTTTCTGGTCTGTGACATGGTTATCTCTATCAAAACTTCTAATTCTTCTTTTATCTCTTTGTATCCCTGTATTTTTTTTTTTTTTTTGATGAGAGTCTCTTTGACCTGGAAGGTAACAATAACATTTACATCAGCTGTTTTTTTAATGATTTTGAAATAAGGTTAACATGTTCTTGAGATTAAAATTACCTTTACAAGAAGAACTCATAAGAAGGAATAACTGCTTTATATTTTTGAGCATATCTGTTGCCTCCGCTAATACTTGTGAGTATATTTTTGTTCTTATCCTTTAGGAGAATATAGCAATCAACACTGATGATAAAATTAGCAGGGGTAGTGTCAAGGAGAAAAAGGTTTTCATGTTTGATCATTAGAAGAATACTACAGATATGTTACGAACATCAACTAAATGGCTCTTCTCAAACTTGAGAAGCTGTAGCTGTGAATTCTGCTTTTTAAGCATCCTGGGATGCTTAAAAATGCTAACACTTTAGGTTGCATTTGGGTCAAAACAAGTAATATCTCTTGGCTATTTTCCTCTGACATAGTTCACGTAATTAAATTTGGCAATATTGTTAAAATGTAGGTGAAATAATTTAGATTTATTTTCAAGAAATAATTTGAATTTGCTGTTTCTCTCATATTCAGATTCAAAACATTATTTGTGGCTGGAGAACGATGTGATGTGGAGACTCTGGAATGGTCCAAAAAGGTCTTCAGAGTGCCTGTCCTAGACCATTGGTGGCAAACTGGTGAGCATTTTCCAAACGTGTATGTAGATACTGCTGAAATGTTCAAAATTTCTCAAAGATTGGAGAAGAACTTAAGCTATTACTATCAGGCACCAAATCAGGATTCAGGTAGTTCTTGTTTCAGTAGGAATAAGAATTCTTTGACTGTCATATTGTTAATATGTAACAATAAAATGCATAAGTCACATTGGGGCCGCCATTTCCTTGGTCCATAGAGAAGAGCATTAAAGACCTCTTTACCTTTCTTTTCTTCTTAGCTTCTCATGTCCTATCTATTGCCACATCTCAGATTTCCCTTTGCAGTATCTATGGCATTCATTCCACCCTTCAGTGTTCACATTGCCTTGGAGCTGTGGCAGTGGTGTTATCATCTGCCTTGGTTTTAATTATCCTCATCGCTCATCTCTGTTCTTCCTGCAGTCTTATCCACCCTGCACACTGCTCCTACAGTTCCTGCAGTTCCTGCCATAGGAGTCTGTGCCATCTTTCCTGTGTCTTATAAAATCTAATTTCTTCTGCCTAGCCTTCAGGCAGAAAAAATTATTTTTCTCAAAAACAATTATCATAATACATATAATTTATTTGTTTACTAATTTTGTTTATTCTCTGTTTTTCTTATACTAAGTGGCCCTCAGGAAAAACATATTCTTATTAAAGAGTTGGAATGTAAACTGTGAAACAAGCAAACAGGAAAAAAAATCTCTCTTTTTTTTTTTTGAGGGATTTTGTGTGTTTGTAAGAGTAGGTAGGTGTTGTTTTGGAGCCTATTTTCCTCCTCACTTAAGTGTAGAGATTTTTTTTTTTTCCATTTGACTCACTGAAAGATCTATGGGAGCCTTGTAGCCTTCATATGCACACATTTTAGTGGACTTCCACTTTGTTCATTGAATTAGACAGGACTTTTTATATTAGTACTTTCAGCACTTCTATTTTCTAAGTATCTGGGGATAGAAAATCAAATTTGTATTAAAAAATAATCTTTCTCTGCAAAAATTAGATCTGATTTTAAATATGATTACTGTCTAGAAAATCAAGTAGGTAACTAAAGTTGAAGATCATGTTTTATATTTTTGATCTTCTTGAGTCTGAGGAATTGTGCTTCTTATGTTATCTCTTTGGATATTACTCTTAGGAAAACATGTTTTCCATATCTTTTGTAATATTAAATAGAAAATGAATAATTAGAGCAATAGACAAATTCCTTACATTGATGAAAATCACAGAGAGGGTTTCTATTATCTCTTGTTTTATTTACTAAAGGAAAAATTACTTATCTAAGTTCAGATTTATAACTGTTCAGAAAATTCAGAAAATAGAACTGCATTGGGACAAAAATCAATGTTCTACATAGAAGTATATAAAAACGACTGAGGAATTATAACCTTTGCAATATTGTATAGATGTATTCCCTATTATTCAGTAAAGTTTTAACACTTATTTCCTAGATATGAATTGAATAGAATGTCATGTGTGACAGTTTTCCTTAGCTGGTCAAAATGGGAGGATTTCTTTTCACCCACAAGTGACCTTACATAATGGAGTGACCTTCTCACCCTCAAGTGTGTGCATGAGAGTTTTGTTTTTCCTCTTTAAATGTGACTATGCCGAAGCTTGCTGAAGGAAACCTGCACATTCAAAAATAAAATTATGATTTGCTTTTTCTTGTAGACATCTTTGTACATAATAGTCTGTGTAGATGTATGTAGTTAGTGCATTCAGGCTTAACAAAGAAACTCACTGAAGCCTGTGAAATAAGCACATGAGGTCTCTCATGGGTACTGAGTTTCATGTGAATTTGCAATTTTTCTTTAATGTATTGTTCAGAGGAAATTAGTAGCCACATTGTGATGTGTGCTGTTATTGTAATCAGGTTGGAATAGGCTGCTCCTTAACTGTGAAAAACAGGGGTTTCTACTTGTAGAAGGACTGCTTCCTTCCATTCTTTACACTGTTCTCCAATTTGATTTTGTAGCTTTTTCTCAATTAAATTACAGAAATACATATATATTGAACAGGTAGGCAGATAGATAAGAATATAGATAGATGATAAATAATTTTGTACTTATGAAAGAATTTCAACCTAGGTGATGCAGGTGTTAGCTACTAAGAGAAAACCTAGGTAGAATCTTTATTTGCATGGGAAAAATTCAATTTATCATTTCCAAGGTTTAGGTAACTGTAAAGTGATACTGAAGTTCAGCATTTGCAATCTTTTTCTTAAAGTAATATTAAATTAATATACAATTTTTTGGGGGGGGCAAAAGTTAATAACTCTTAGGTAAACTCTTAGGGAAAGAAAAAAAATATATTTCTAACCCACTGAGGAATTTTCTAGCGTTTTAAATATTAAATAGATGGTGGCACATTTCCCCAAGGGGCCTGCTGGTGATGCTGGATAGTGTGTAGCGGGAAGTTAAGCTTTGACCAAATAATACTTTCCTTTATTTCAAATTTCAGTCTTCTACAGGACCTACTCTTTATTGCAATTGACTTAAAAATTGATATTTTTATGTTTGCACACTTTTATAAGTCTTCCATGTATGTCTGAATAATTCATGAATTTGCTCTTTGATTACATTAATATATTTGTATAAATGAGCTGTTTGAAAATTGTAATGTATGATTTGAAATTAGTAAGGGGTATGTTAAGTAACTAAAATTTATGAATAAAAATTGATTGGCTCCTCTGACTTAGGTTGTAAGAAGGAACTCTGCAGTCAATCTATTTATGTTACCAGGCTGTTGGTTACCTAGGTGTAATTTGTATTGATAACATAGACTTTTAATGACTAATATCCTCCTTTGATCCATTAATTCTAATGTTCTTGATGTTTAATTTAAATGATATCTAAGATTCTAAATTGAAAATTAATCTGTGAAGAGGGCTGGGGGGATATAGCTCAGTTGTTAGAGTGCTTGCCTTGCACGCACAAGGCCCTGGGTTCAATCCCCAGCACCACCAGCACCAAAAACAAAAAACAAAAAACAAAATTAATCTGTAAAGAATCCAAAACAGTTCAGCAACCTCCATCTCTCGTAGGAGTATCTTAATACAGACTTATTGCTATTTAAGAACACTGAAGCATTAAGCTCTTGCTTTGGATTATAATCATTTAAATAATTCTGAAGTAAAAGAAACAGGTTTTACTGAGTTTCAAGAGGAAGGTTGTACTCATTGGATTTATCAATCTGTATAAAAGTTGAATTTCTATTCACCCAGATGTTTTATTTTCCAGTTAATTTATATGTAAGTTGATGTAAAACTTCTGGATTATCATAATCATTTTTACATAGAAATAGAGAAGCAGAGGTGTTTGCAATCATAATTTAAAAAGGGAAAATTAAGAGAATTGAAAATTGTTCAATTAAAATATGGTAATTCATGTACCAAAAATGAACAGCCAGGACTTCATTATCCTTGGTTGCAGAGTCCCCAGACAAAACTCTGCATTGTCATACTTTTTTTTTTTTTTAAGTGCTGGAGAGGAGCGTTTATAAAGATCAGACAGGAAACCTAATTTTAGAAGGAAAGAACTGTCAGGGAAGTCCATGGTGTTCTTTGCAAGTATTATTTTTTGTGAATCAAGATGATTATAATGAAATTCAGCTCCTTATAAGGAAATAACCTAATGTGGAAAATAAAAGATTCCTTAAATTTTAGAGACTCAATATTAAAACAAAATACAGTAGACCTTCTTCTCCCTTTTTGAGGTGTTCTCCTTACCTTCCTCCTTTCTTCCTTTCTTCATCCTATTTGCTATTAGACATGGTATTTGTTTAGAAATTATTGTAACAAGACGTCTTGAACTCTCAAGTTTTAGCTTTCCACCTAGCATGCTAGGTGGAAACACTTAATCCTATCACTTGATGTCAGTAAGTTACATAAAGACAAATGACAAACCTGGGATACTCAAGTTCCACAATGACTTTTATAATGGAAAATTTGGTGAAGGTTTTAGATCACCAGCATTTATGATTCTTTCCACCTGTCGGTTGGACATTATCTCTGTAGTTCCCATCAGAAGATATGGTGCCAAATAAAAAGTGTTTCAACTGTCTTGTGTCCAGGTAGTGATGACATAATTAAAATGAGGTATTGATACTGACTACCAACTCCAGCAGCATTAGATGACGTTGTTTGTTTCGTTTCATCCTTTAATAGAGAAGTAAAATTCTTCATGGAATTTTAAAAACCCTAAAGAGGGATTTCAATGAGAAAACAATAGTCGTCTAATAGAGACATTAGTGATGAAAAGTTACTGATTTTACTTTATCTGCCTTGAGCCATCTTTGCTGAGTTCTTATACCTTGAAGTAATCAGACTATTTTTCTCAACTTGATTGAACTCCTGCAGTTTTAATTGCAGTTGCAGTTCTGAAATAACTATGTCTATATACAACCTAAATCCTCCTGCTTTGAGGAGGAAATTGGTAATTCTGTATTTTATTAAAGTGGACCCAAGGCTCCAGCAAGCTTCAATCATGCCAGTTCTTACATCAAAATCATTATTCCAAAGGACACTTATACATTAATGTCATGTTATTAAAGTGCCTCATGGCTACTTGACATAACAGTCTTTATTTTGCACAGTTTGGTGAGATGTACTTCTTTAGATCGGGCAAGTGGGACAAGACATTTTACCACAGAAGTTGATTAAACTGACCAAATTCATTCCTTATCCTTAGGTCTAACTGGAGAAGATCCATTAGCCCAGGGTGTTTTTTTTTTTAAGAAAGTAATGCATTTTATTTACAAGAATGAAAATCACAAAATAGGATAATTAATTATAGTTTGGTAGAAATTATCCTAAGCCAAGACCTTTAAGGGAAATGTTACAGGCATGACTATAGTACTGTCTCATTCCTCCTAAGAAAACTGTGAAACGTTAGCCAGTGTCCAAGGATTTGATTCATAGGATAGTGAAGTCCAAGTCACTTTTTTGCTGGGTCATTCATTTTATTTGTTACCATTGGATTTTCAGATAATTCACTTTCAGGTGT